CTCCTGAACTGCTGGGATTACAGGTGTGCACCACTGTGCCCAGCAGGGCCGCATCTCTCTCTCTCTCTCTCTCTCTCTCTCTCTCTTTTTAAGAGAGAGAGAATTTTAATATTTATTTTTTAGTTTTCGGCAGACACAACATCTTTGTTTGTATGTCTTTGTTTGTATGTGGTGCTGAGGATCGAACCCGGGTTGCCCGCATGCCAGACGAGCGCGCTACCACTTGAGCCACATCCCCAGGCCAGAGCCGCATCTGTTAATGGTGGGCTATGTCCTCCAGTGCTGCAGCAGACTCCAGCAGCTCACCATCAACGTCTTCTTTCAGGGTGCTTGTCTCATGAATTCAAAGAGCAAAATCCACACATCAGGATGAGTGAGCCCAAGAATAGGACTCACTGAAAAACAGAAAGAAGAGCAGAACTCTTCCAGCGCAAGAAGGCTCCCAGATTCAGGTCTGCTCTGCCCTCTGAACTGGCGCTGCTGGATGGGTAGGAGTTTTCCAGGCAGAAGAAGACAGCTTCCAGATGGTAGGATTTGCAAGATCGACGGGGAGCACGGGTACAGACAGATGGACAGGAGTACCAGGAGATGAACCCAGGGGAGAATTCAAAATTCCTAACTGTAATGAATGGAGTGAATCAAGAGTCTGGTGCACAATGCTGAGGAACTAGTATTTTACTCACTGTGGAGTTTCATGTAGAAAAATGCACAGTCAGATTTTTATATTAGATTGCGGTGAATATGAAGTATTTGATCTCTCCAGTTTCTGGTACAGAGTTCCAGGAGCCCTTGGAGTCTCCAGAGTAATAAGAGTGTCTTTTGTATGCTAATGAATGAGGGGCCCCTGGATAGCTTTCAGATGGGGGGAGATCACCGGAAAGACCAGCCAAGTTTAGAGTTGGAAGTTTTAGCTTTGACCCCTGACCTCCAGAAGCAGAAGAAGGCCTGGAGATGGAGTTCAGTCACCAGTGGCCAAACCTCCATTAAAACCCTAAGCCATGGGCTGGAGCCGGCGTCCAGGTTGGTGAACCCTTTCCTGTTCTGGGAGGTGGGGCTTCCAGACGGCTGGTGCCACAAACCCCCAATACTCTGTCCTGTGCCTCTCATCCATTGCGTTGCTCCTGGGTTATAATCTTTATAATAAACCAGTAAATGTAACTAAAACAATTTCCTGAGTTCTGAGTCCTTCTCATGAATGATGGAAGCTGGTGGGCAGGGGAGGTGTACTTGGGAACGCCTGAATTTGCAGGCAAGTCTGAATGAAGTTCAGTGAGCCTGGGGACCTGGGACATGGTGTCTGCAACGGAAACCGTAGGTTGTGTGCTAACTCTACACAGGGTCAGGTTAGGTTGAAACCGATTCAAACACTCTGTGTGTATCTTTTCTTTCTTTCTTTCTTTCTTTTTTAGGAATTTAACCTTTATTTATTTGTTTGTTTTAATGTGGTGCTGAGGATTGAAGCCAGGGTCTCACCTACACTAGGTAAGGGCTCTCCCACTGAGCCACACCCACAGCCCCATGTGTGTATCCTTGTTCAAGAAATTTTTCAGTCTCTAAAAATTTATCCCACAGAAATAATCAAACATGCAAATTTTATCTGCCAGTGGGCTCACTGAGTGCCCAAAGTACCCCAGTACCCCAAAGTCGAAGCAAGTGAAATGTCTGAGAACACTTCAATAAAGCACTGTACTCCAGATGACGTAGAAAACCGATACTAAATAGGACATTTTAGGAGAGTATTTACAGACCTGGATATATTATCACAAAACATTGTTCAGTGATAAATCAGAATGAGAAAAGCAAAAGAGGTACACTATAACCTCAATTTTATGATATGTAAGACATATTCAGTTGGAACACACCACCTGTGATTGTCACAGATCACTCAGTTTTCTTCTTTCTACTGGTCTGCATTTCCCCAAAATTTTCCAAAATAAGAAAGTACCATTTTTGTGAACAGAGAAACAGAGTATCATTTTCAAAACAAGAATTAAAGACCCCCAAATAAGCTGGGCTTGGGGTGCATGCCTGTAATCTCAGGGGCTCAGGAGCCTGTGGCAGGAGGATTGTGAGTTCAAAGGCAGACTCAGCAACTTAGCAAAGCCCTAGCAACTCAGAGAGACCCTGTGTCTAAATTTTAAAAAAAAAAAAATATGGGCTGGGGATGTGACTGAATGGTTGAGTGCCCCTGGGTTCAATCCCCGCTATATATATATTTTTAAAAGCCCCCAAATAAAGATACTGACTTTCTCACATTCTCAGAGAATGATCTCTGGAGATCATTCAAAAGAAATGAACTCAGTGTGCTGAAGAGACCCCTTCCCATCTGCACAGTGCCGACCAGTCCGACAGCCAAGGCTCAGATGGGTCAAGGTGTCCGTCATCAGAGGAATGCATACAGGAAGTGCATACCCAGACAATGGGAATACTACTCAGCCTTGAAAAGGAATGAAATGCTGACATGGGCCACAAAACCTTGAGGGCTGTGTGCTAAGTGAAATGAGCCATAATAAAAGGACAAGTGCTTTATGATTCCAATTGTGGGAGGTCTCTTGAGTGCTCAAATTCATAGGGACGGAAAGTAGAATGCAGCTGCCAGGAATGGGGGAGGGGAAGAGGTCACAAATGTCTGTTTGGGAAGATTAAAGCTGGAGGGTGTCGATGGTCACATCACCTTGTGAGCATACTTAACGTGATGACTCGTACATCTAGAAGGGGTTTAAATGGCACATCATGCACCTGTGCATTTGACCATGATATTTTACAATGTTGAAGGCTCTACAAGGAAGATATGGCAGGAGTGATCATGCCCTGTGCCTGAAGGGCGGCCTCTCCTCAGTGACATGGTTTTCTCCACAGTGATGTGGCTGTCCCTGGCTGCTCCCTGGAATCCCCAGGGTCTGGACCAGCCACACGTCCCAAAGCACAGGCTTCCCAGAGGCTCCCTGCCTCTGACCTGGCGTCGGACCTCTCCTCTTAGTGTCTCAGGGTCTCAAGGGCAGGGAGGGCCTGACGGGCAGACCCAGCCTCATAGCTGAAGGAGAGCCCCCACCTGGCGGCCGTCCTGCAGCCCCGCCAGCCACTCCTCCCAGGCCCCTGGCCAGGCACTCCATCAGGGCTCTACCGCTCTGCTGCAGTCTCCATGAGTTCTGCTCATTTTCTTGGTCATTTGCCCCTTGGCCCTCTGCTCAGCCCAGCCGCTGTCCCTTGTCTCTCCCGATTACTCAGGGCTTCTGCTGCCTCCTGGCCTCTGACCAGCGGATCTGCCACTCATTGGTAGTTCGCCTCGCACCCACACCCGGTGGCCTTGTGGCTTAGCCCTGCGCCTGTGTGCATGGCACCTGCTCCTGAGGTGCCCAAAGCCCTCTCCCGGTCCAGCGGGTGGCTCTCTGCACATGAGTTTGCTGACCTTTCCTCGTCCAGGGTCAGCCCTAAACCCGTCCCAGCCCACAGCCCTGATCACTGTGGTGGAGACGGCCTGCTAATGTGGCTTCCCAGGACCTGCAGGGCTGTGCTTGGGAACGCTGTCACCAGGGTCTTCAGGGCAGGGGCCTTGCCCATCTGCACTCCCCTAGCACTGGCCCTCGCAGGCATTCTTCAGTCCCCCCAACCCCTGGGCTTTCCCTGCTCTCTGGGTGCTAACCTCGCTCTCTCCTCTCACGGAGGACCAGGGACTGTGTCTGTGCAGGGTGGGGGACACAGCACCTCATGCACATGGCAGAGCGGTCATTCACTCATGGCCAGCACACAGGAGACGGGGTGGGGGAGACCCCAGAGCCCCGTACTCCCCCCAGAAGACATGCTCCCCTCCCCCAGGTCCTCCTAAAGGCTCCGTGACTTCCCAACAGCAGCAAGCCAAGGACCAAGCCTTTAACACACTGGCCTTGAGGACATTCCAGATCTGATTTGTGGTACGGCTGGCACTGGGTGGTGCGAGACACGCCCACGTGATCAGGCTCCACCTGAACCAACTGCCTTCCTAGTGCCATTCTTGCCTGCCGAGTACACCCTCAGGTCTTTCTTTTTTGGGGGGCGGGGGGAAATATCAGGAATTGAATTCAGGGGCACTCCACCATGGAGCCCCATCCCCAGCTTTATTTTATATTTTATTTAGTGACAGGGTCTCATTGAGTTGCTTAGCACCTCGATGTTACTGAGGCTGGCTTTGAACTCATGATCCTCCTGCCTCAGCCTCCTGAGCCTCTGGGATTATAGGCGTGCACCACTACACAGGGCTACCTTCAGGTCCTTCTGTGTGGGCTTTCTGCCTCCTCTGATGGCTTGTACCCGAAGCTCTGGGGGGAAGGGTGACTATCTCACAGAGGCAAGGGCTGGCAGGGTGAGGCAGGGCTTCAGGTGAGGCAGGGCTCCGTGCTGAAGCCCTGAGGGTGCGGGCTCTGCCAACACAGGCCTTAGGAGTCGCCTGCTGGTGCAGATTCTAATTTCTGAATCCTAGATGCTGAGCAGGAGGAGCCCTGGATTTGTGTCCTGACAGACTCCATGAACACGACGCTGATACAGCCTCAGCTGCGTTTCAGAGCCGCCAGCTCCGCTGGTTTCTGACCAGCTTCTACGGGGCTCTGGAGAAGTGAGCTTCGCCTTGCTGAAGCTCTCCCTGGTGAAGTAGCCTGCCCTCAGCAGCAGCTCACAGTGGGAGTGGCCGGCACTCCCAGCCTCCCCCAGGAGCGTCTGACACAGGGGCATGGCTCCAAGCTGCACCCCCAGCATGCCCCTGTCACCAAATATGTGAAGTTGCCTGACCTCAAAGTCACCGCATGGGGCAGAAACTCTCGGACTGACCTCATCCTTGGACTCCATTGCTCACTTGTTGGCAGGAGGACGTGGTTACTCAGGCTGAAGTGAGCAGGGGTCTGTTTGGGGGCCTCCTTGCACAATCAGGACCTCCCTGTGTTCCGTGTCATGTGAACCCTGGGCATGCTCCAAACTCCATGCAAGCGAATTGGCACCTGCCAAGGCCCTGCGCCCGCCCACGCGCTCACCTTCACCCGGTCCATGCAGGCCTCCATCTTCAGCTGCTCCACAGCTCGCCGGGCCTGGGAGATGCTGGTGGTGCTATTGTTGGAAGTGGACACGCCTTCCTTCATCCTGCCTCCCTGGAAGCAAGCACAGGGGAGGTCTGGAGGCTGCTCTCCCAGCCTCCCTGCCTCCCGCTACAAACCCTCCCAGGACAGAGAGGGGAATGCTTAGGATAGCAAGGGCAGGGGGACGCTGTGTTCTTGTGTGGAGACTTTCTCAGCCCTGGGGAGAATGAGGACCAAGAGGTGGAACCCTGGTTAGGGCGTCACCACCAGTAAGACCTGGAAGTGTGTTGGAAGTCAGTAATGGTCACTCCTCTAGCAGCCCATCAGGTTGGAAGGACAGTGCTCATTTTTATTTTGTAAAAAAAAAAAAAAAAAAAAGTGCAAAAATCAGAGCAATTAAGCCAATAGCCAGAAGTTCCAGAGCCCACTGTGTGGATCCAGGACCCAGACTCTAGGCTTCGCAGGCTGGCTGAGGCTCTCCCCTTGGCTCACACGGCTCACAGGCACTTCTGAGGGGAAACTGCTTTGCTGTAGATTTTAATTTGCTGTCACTCCAAGAGGCTCACAGACCTCAGGTCGGGAGTCTGTTTCTAAATAACCTCACCCACACTCCATCCCAAGTATAGCTTTGCTGTTCTAGAGGGGGAAGAAATTCTGCTGGCCTGTCCCATAAAGATGACAGTGACTAAGACAAGACCCTGCAATGCCAATGGTCTCACTGTGAGTGTCTGCCTGGCACAGATCAGTTACTCCGCCCATGAGAGGCAAGGATTAAGGCCTGAGCAGGGAGGACGGTCACTGCAAACAGATGCACAAGGGACACCTGCCCCTGCTGCATGGGCTGCGGCCAGGACCTGGTGGAGAGTTTTCATGGGGCCTCTGATGGGGTGCACCCGTGGCTCTGACCCAGGGAGCGCAGAGTTGGGGTGGCGCCAGGGCATTGCTTCCTTCCCCAGAGCTGCTGGTCTGACTCACGGGGCCCTGTGCTGGGGAGCTGTGGAAGAGTGGAGGCCAACACCCCTCATCAAGCTCAGGCTCAGCAGTGGCCTGTGGCTGTGTGCTTGGGGGACAGCAGCACTGCTTGGAGGAAGAAGCTGGCCTTGCTGCAAGCATTATCCCCACTCTGCTCCTGAGCGAACCAGGACAGGACAGGTCACCACTCCCTTACCTGCTGAGAGGTGGCACAGTGAGAGGCCTGGACGCAGGCTGGTGGTGACAGCAGTCAGTCGTCAGCTGGAGGCTGACTCAGAGCTCCGGCCTTGGGGCTCACCTGGAAGCACAACCAGAGGTGTGTGTAGAGGCTCAGGAAAGCCTCCTTGCTGGGTCCCGGTGTCCCTACTGTCCCATGGCATCTCGCTCCCAAGCTTAGCAGCTTCCTTGTAAGTGTGGGGACTTTCAGATCAACCCTTCAGAAGACTGTGGGCTAAAGGCAGAGAGAGAGAACCCCTGAGAGGACACAGTAGATTGGGACTCCATCTGCAGGTCAAGGCCACCGGGGCCTCATCAGACGGCCCACAGCCCACCCGCCTGCCCTGTTCCTCTGCCCGTCACTCGAAGGTCTAGCTCTAGCAGCTGCTGACAAGTGGAAGCAGTTCACAAGGTTTATTCTTACTATACAAATACATGTCCAGTGTGGGAAGATAAAATTGCAACAAAGAAGATAAAGACCCAGCACAATTCTATTTCCTAGAGACAATTCTGCCTATGGTGTTGGTGACTATCATTCTTATACTTATTAGGAACAACTTGATTCCAGCCACAGCGCACTTATAGCATAGAGGTGGGACAAAGTCAGGTGACTCCAAAGGTCTCCACAGAGGGACAAATGTCCTTGTTTGCCTCCCTCCTTGACAGAGCTGCTCCAGGGTGGCCAACTTTAAGATGATGGGCTTGTTCCCAAGTGCCACTAGGTGCCCTGCTCAGCTGCGTTCACTCCAGGGATCCGGAGGAACTTGCCACAAAAACAAGGGACCTGGCTGGAACCAGGGACCAGGCGGCCACTCAGGCTCCAAGCGCCTGGAACTTGGGGTCTGAAAACAGACAGCAGGAAGGTTTCCAAGAGCACTGTCAGCAAGTGAAAGGACTGGGGTCCTCCAACAGCCGAGGAGAGGGGACAGACTAGAGGGGGCTACCGTCGATGACGCAAAAGCCGAGTAACTTCCAGGAGCACAGGTGCTCCTCTGTGGGAAGTTCTCACTGCAGGTTGTGCTACAGCCAGGAGTGACCGTAGCCCCGCGTGAAGGGTGAGGTGCGAGGAGATTAGATCTACATAGGAAGGTGCCTCTCACAAGAGCCGCAGCTCCAGTGACAGCCACGCGGGCCCTCAACAGGAGTCTGGCTTAGTCCCTTCAGGCTGCTGCCACAAGATGCCATAGATTGGGTAGCTTTTTTTTTTTTTTTTCCTTTAGGTACCAAAGATTGAACCCAGGGATGCTTAACCACGGAGCCACATCCCTATCCCTTTTTATATTTTATTTAGAGACAGGGTCTCTCTGAGTTGCTCAGGCCCTTGCTAAATTGCTGAGGCTGGCTCTGAACTCGCAATCCTCCTGCCTCAGCCTCCCAAGCCATTGGGATTACAGGTGTGCACCATGGCGCCCAACTGATTTGGTAGCTTTTAAATAACAGAAATGTCTTTCTCACAGTTGTTGGGGCTGGGAAATCCAAGATTGGGATGTCATCACCAGTGGGTTCCAGCAGGTCCCCTATCTGAGCCCACCACCTGCCAGCTCCTCGCTCAGTACTCATGGGGCAAAATGCAGCTTCCTCAGGCCCCTTGTGTAAGGCACAAGCCACTCGTCAGGGACAAACTCCGTGACCATGGCCCCCAGTGTTACAGTCCTTAAATGCCTCGTATTGAGGGTAAGCCCTAACTTATGAACGGTGCGTGACAAACTTTCAGACAATAGCAACGGCCCAAACTCCAGAGTGGTTTCTACATCAGGTACTTAAGGTTTCTTCCTAGCTACTCCCAGTTCACATGTAATTTACCAAAGGGACACATCTTTACCATAAGAAATGTTGCCTAGCAATACAGTTAATCTCATCAGGTTTCTGGGGTGTGACAGCCTTCCCCCAAATGTCCGTGACCCAACCCAGGAACCGGCAAACCTGTTAGGCTCCATGACGAGGAGGAACTAAGGTAGAAGGTGGGTGGAGATGGCAGATCAGCTGACCCTCTTAAGGTGGGCAGGGTATCATGAATCATCCTGGTAAGGCCCACTGTAATCACGACTGCCCTTAAAAGTGAAAGAGGGAAGCACGAGACTTGTGTCAGAGAGATGTAAAGCTGTGACACTGCTGGCCCTGAAGGAGAGGGATCCCAGGACACGAGCAGCCTCTGAAAGCTGGAAAGAGCAAGCAAAAGCATCTCTCCTGGAGCCTTCAGAAAGAGCACAGCTCTGCCACACCTTGGGGTCAGCCCCTGACGTCCCGTTTGGACTTCTGACCTCTAGAACTGTCATGGAGTCAATTTGTGTTGTTTTAGGTTGTTTGGTGGTTTGTGACAGCAGCAATCCAGGGTAACAGAGGAAGCTGGCTCACGAGGTTGTCTTCTCATGCATCGGGGGAGGAAGGGTTGTAAACCATTGTCCAGGGCTGGCCTCTTGCTCCTTCTCAGCCTCATCTCTGGTGCCCCCACCTTTCACCTGTCACAGGAGTGCTGGACTACTGCAGCCTCCCAACTCACTTGTGCCTTTTTCTTGCCTTTCATTTCTGAGACCCACCCCATCTGGTGATGATGTCTTGCCCCTCTTGCGCATAACTGGGCACAGTTTGTTAATATTCTGTTGAGGACACTTCTGTGTATGTTCATGAGGAATATTGGTCTGCAGCTTTCTTACAATGTTTTTGTTGGGGTTTGGTATTAGAAAAATTCTGGCCTCAGAAAATCATTTGGGATATGTTTCTTCATCTGCCAATTATTTGGAAAATTTGGATGGAGTTAGAATTAGTCTCATTCTTCCTTAAATGTTTGGTAAAATTCCCCAGTGAAGTCACCTAGGACTAGAGTTTTCTTTGTAAAATGTTTCTAACTATGAATTCACTTTTGTTAGTAGAAATAGGACTATTCAATTTTCCTGTTTCTTCTTGTGATAAGTCTGATTGATTGCTGTCTCTTCCTTGGGGCTTGTCCATTTCTTCTAGCTATTGAATTCATGTAAAGTTTTTGAAAATATTCTTTTTATGTATGTAGGGTCTGTAGTGATGTTTCCTCTTTCATTCCTGATACTGATAATCTGTCTTCTCTTTTTCTTTGTCAATTTGGCTATGGGTCAAAGAACTAGCTGTAGGTTTAATTGATTTTTTAATATTGTTTGTCCTTAATTTCACTGATTTCTATTCTTATCTTTATTAGTTCCTGTCTCTCTGCTTACTTTCGGTTTAATTTTCTCTCTCTCTCTTTTTAAAGTGGAAGATGAAGTCGTTGATTTGAGACCTTTCTTCTTTTCTAAAATAGCATTTAATGGTGAAAATTTCCCCATAAGCACTGAAACTCACACATTTTGATATCAACTCAAAACATTTCTAGTTTCCTTTGTGATTTCCCCTTTGACACATGGGATGTTCAGGAGTATGTTTTCATATGTGGTTAGGTCAGAGTCTAACCTCTCTTAAGTTTTTAAAGTGTGTACAATTCCCTGCATGTACTACTCAAAGCTTTGAGTACTGATGTGGATCTTGATTGGATTCTCAAAATTTTGTTCAGCTGCTTTAGATCTAGCCTGTGCACGTGCATCTCATGGGCGAGGCTGGGGCTTTTGTGGGTTCATATGAGATGATCCACTTCTCCCACTCTCTCTCCCCCAGGACTCCTCCCACACTCTCCAGTTCACAAGAGCCCCTTTTCCTGTTTTCTTTGCTGGAAAGACAGGGTTTATCTTGGAGATATGGCCCAAGATGCTGCCACCACTGTGCAGTTCTGTACCTGGAGCCTGCCCTTGGGGCAAGGCTATGGGAGAAAGGAGAAAAAGGGAAAAATGACCTCAAGGGCTCCCTTCCCAGGTTCTCTGGCCAGATATGAGGGTTTCTATCGATGCACTAGCTGTATACACTACCGTTCTGCTCCTGGCCCACTCTCAGGCAACAGCACAAGAGTAAGGGGAAACAGAAGTGCTTCTCCCTTAGGGTCACTTCTCAAGTTCTGCTTCTCTTGTACAATCCCCACGCTTTTTTTTTTTTTTTTAAATTTCATTTAGAGACGGGGTCTCTCAGAGTTGCTCAAGGCCTTGTTAAGTTGCTGAGGCTGCAGAGGGACTGCTCCACCCAGGTCTTTCTGTGCGCCATTCCCTCTGCCAAGAATGCCCTTCCTTTCTGCTTAATGCTAGTTCCACTCTCATAATGTGGTGGGCTGTGCTGACCTCCAAATCTTCCCTGACCTCTCTCACCCTTTAAATTCAGCTCAAGAGCCACCACACGCCCTCCTGTGCATCCTTCAGTCTGTCTCACGGCCAAGCAGCAGCTGGGCAGGGAGAAGGGCCTCATCTTCCTGGATCATCACTGTATTCCTGGCTTGCAAAGGCTGATAAAGCAATGGAGTGATTGTTTCTATTTTATACCTGAATCTATCATTAAAGAGGCAGGAGGGACATCTGAAAATGGCAATCGCAAAACTATGAAGGCTCCCTGGTTTTTTTTAAATGCTGAAGGGAGAAGCCGGAGGATCCCCTGGGCCTTTGCCAGAGGACAGCTGGAACAAACAAGTCTGAAGACCTTAGCTTCTGCCGTCCCTTGAAGGCAGCCAGGGACGTCAGATTATGTCAAATTCCATTTCACATGGCATTGTTTCAACAGAAAAGCTATTTTTACAGATGGGGAAGTGACTGACAGAGAAAAATGATAGTTTTGAGTCTTCAATGTAATTTTAATTGAAGGAAGGACAAATGCTGTCACATCCCAGCTCCTAGCATCATCCAGCAAGAATGAATTTTCCATAAACGATTTTAGGGCAAACCATCAATTTCCACATTTCTGGAGACTCAATCTTTCTTAAAAGCAGGATGATTTTATTGTGGAGCGTGCAGGTGGGTGTGTGATTTCCCATGTCACATGTTTCCCCTTAGGACTTCTGTGCTGCACGAGAACAGATCAAGGAGGCTCCTCTGTCCTCTCTGCTCTGCCACCGCTTCCTCTCCAGGTCCCTTTGCCACCTTGGTATGCGTCTTGGTCATGGGTGTGGTTTTCAGACAGCTCCTGAGGGATTGGTGAGGGGAGCTGCCAGTGAGCCTCAGCCTCAGCCCCTGGGGAGTGTCTGACCTCCTGCTGGCTCTCTCAAGGTTGGGTGACCACTGATCCCAAAAGAGGTTCACGGGGGCCCTGACGCAAGCGCAGGAGCTGCCAAGCTGAAGGGAGGGACTGCCAGAAGCCCGTGAGGACCTCATGTGGCAAAGGTCCTCTGGGGCCTGGAAGAAGGATCAGCAATGCCACCTTCTGCAGACAGACCCTATGACCTACACACAGCCACAGAACAACACCCCTTCCTGGGTCTCTCAGTACCCTGGGGTAGCACTTTCTCCTCCGTCTTCCTAAACTTCTCTTGCTATCTACCTTCCCAGCCCTTGTAAGATTTTATTTCTTTTTTAGAACAGCTTAGATTCACAGAAAAATTGAGTGGAAAGTACAGCAGGTTCCCCAAACTTCTTGTCCCCACAAACACACAGCCTCCCCACAACCGGCCTTCAGCCCTGGAGTGGTACATTAGGGACAGTGAACCAACGTCGACAGCTTCACGACCCAGAGTGAATTCGGATTTGTCGTGGTGTTGCACATTCCCTGGGTCTGCACGATGTGTAAACATGGGGTCTGCCTTCACAGTGCCACATAGGGCACCCCCTGCCCTACACGTCCCAGCTCTCTACCACCTGTCCATTCTCCCTGCCACTGGTCCCTGGCACTTATCTTTTTAGTGTGTCCACAGTTTGGCCCTTTCCAGAATGTCATGCAGCCTCTGCATACCGCCTTCTTTCACTTAGCAATATGCAGTTGAGGTTCCTACGTGTCTTCGTGTTTTGATAGTAACCTTTTTTTTTTTTTGTACTGTAAATTGAACCCACTGGCACTTTACCAGTGAACTAAATCCCCAGTCCTTTTTATTTGACACTGGGTCTCACACTAACTTGCCGAGGCTGGCCTCAAACTTGCAATCCTCCTGTGTCAGCCTCCAGGCATCTGCCACTGTGCCCAGTAGTACCCTTGTTTTTAGTGCTAATGTTCCGTTGTCTGGATGCACCACATTTTATTTATCTACCCACTGACCAAAGGGCATCTCAGTTGCTTCCACATTTTTGCAATTATGAATAAGGTTGCCACACACACTCATGTGCAGGATTTTTGTGAAAATAAGTTCTCAACTCGTTAGGGAAATACTGATGAGAGCAATTGCCAGATCTTATGGTAAAAGGGGGTGTAGATTTGTAAGAGACTGCCAAACTGTCTTCCAAAGTGGTCACTCTGTTTTGCATTTCCACCAGCAATGAGCAAGAGTTCCTGCTCCTGTCCTGGCAGACATCTGGTGTTCCCAGCCTTCTGGATTTGGGCCACTGTAGTAAGTGCATAGTGCTATCTTGTTAACTGTTTTCATTTGCATTTCCCTAACGACACATGATGTGGTGCATCCTTGCCTGGCTGATGTGCCATCTGCTCCTCTTGAGTCAGTTGCTGCTGGCTCAGAATGTCTGCTCGTTTTGTAACAGGGCTGTTTGTTTTCTTATTGCTGAATTTTAAGAGTTCTTTGCCTATTTAGGGTGAGTCTTTCATTATACATGTCCTACAAATATTTTCTCCCTGTCTGTGGCTTGTCTTCTTGCTCGTTTTCCTTCCCAGCCTTTTCAAAGCTCCTGGGTAGAGTCTGAACTAAGTGGAGGTTACAAGGCACATTGAGCTCAGAACTCAGAGGCTCTCCATCCCCGGGCTCTGCGAGTGTGAGGCTGCACGATTGGAGACCTCTTAGTTCTCACCTAATCCCAGTCCTTCCATGCATGTACCTCTTCCCTGCTCCCTTGAGCTGTCTGGTGCCAGCAATCACCCCGCCCAGCCCGAGCGCACGGTCTACTGAGCAAATGCTCTGCCCGGACAGGATTTTCCCCTGGCCATTGCTGCAGACAGTATTGTCATAAGACAAGCAATTCAGAACCCAAAGCTGAGGCTGTCTTCTTATGGTCAACAAAAGGAGGCACCGTGGCCACCGGCTGACCTCAGGGAAAGCTCTGGCACTGTGCACTGTGACTTTGGAGAAGCCACCAATCTTCCCAAGCTGGGTTTTCACACCTGTGGGACAGGTGCAGCTGCACTCCCAACATGGCGTGGTTCTGAAGATTAA